GATTTTTCTATTCTCCTTTACTGCCTATTTTTCTTCCCGAGCCTCCATTGCATCTATATTTGCCCTTCTCCTGTCGGGATCAATTTTGGTGTAATGCTTTTATATTACTTGAGACTAAAACTATTCAGAGAAATAAAAAATATTTAGCTTTTGATGCCTCTTCTAGTGATCATCTTAACATCTATTCTCAAAGAGGATTTTGAGCTCATCTATTTTGCTATTTTTGGTGTACTGGTTAACGCATCAGGCTAGAAACTGGGAAACCATGAGTTTTAGCCTCACCTTACACACAAAGCTGGCTGGGTGACCTTGGGCCAGTCGTTTTCTTTCAGCATTAGGAAGGAGGCAATGGCAAACCACTTCTGAAGAACCTTCCCAAGTAAACTACAGGGATTTGTCCAGGCAATCTCCAATTATTGAACACAATTGAACAGAAAGAAACAGAAATTGCTATAGTGGCCACTATGTGGTCAAAAGTTGAGATAATCAGTTACATTATTGAAAACAGTTTTTGGCCATTAAATTGAAAACAGGATTTCGAAAAAAGGTTTGTAGTTCCCATTTCCCCTTCCTCAAGAGATAAAAGCTTATTAACTCAGCTAATACTAGAAGTTTAGAGTTAAAGAAGTTTGAAATCTGATATACAATACCATAATTTCTTCCAAGTCCAAAACAGGAAGATTTGAGGTCTTTGCTTTGCAAAGTTGGTGGTAGGGAGTACAAGAATTTACCCTTAGTTTCACTTTAAAGAAGACTTTCATTTGATATTTAGCAATTATTGGAATTCTTTTTAATGACTGCCTTGGTACTTAACAGAGACATTGGATCCTTAAATTACTGTGTGTATATATTCCAGCTTCAATATCAGCCAATTGAAAGCTGACACTAACACCAGATAATTTTAGAATATTAAGAGAATATAGCTCATTTATTATACTGAAGCAAATCTTCTATTTTAAGTTGTTTAGAGCCTGTAGATATAATCTGCATTACAGAATTTTTCCTCCTGCTTTGATTTATACCTAATTCTCATTTTCCATATTACTGCTACTCAAATTCATATCTTTGTATTAATCTCCCAGATAATTTCAATATTTCATAGTGGGGGAAAAGTTATCATTAGCATAATATAAAATATAAATAGCTGACTGTCTTCATATCATTAGTAACAAATACCAATAAATAGCTTGCCGGGTAATCCAAAAGCAGTACATTATCTAAGCAGTTGTGCTAAGAATTAAAAAACAGTTACCCTCTCCATATATATCTTAAGTTCGTCCCCCTGGCAGAAAACATTTCTGTGCATGTACAGACATGCTCAGTATACTTAAGAAAGTTCTTGAAAACACTTTTCTGAACCTTGGAGAAATACATCCTCTTCAGTAAACGTCCAAAAGGTTTGCTCAGCTCAAATAAATGATACGTTAATTATGATTAAACTATAAAGCTTAGTTTTGTTACAAACAATATAATTAGAAAGCTTTACTTATTTTTCAGCTGTACAAGGTTCAGGTGTCATTTTTAGAACTGTGGAAGTTACTTTACATAAAGAAGGGAACACTTTTGGATTTGTAATTAGAGGTAAGTTCCCCATAATAATTTGTTTCTCAAAATTTTATGAGCTGATTTAGTCCCATATTGTATTCTTTTGTCCATTATACATACTCCTCTCATTGCTAACATGGCTGAAATTATTGCATGAAAACTTAGTTGCAATCAAATATTATATGGTTTTCATGGAATTAGTCAATAAATATAATTGGATTCTGCTCATTATATTTATGAACCAGCCTCATTAATATTTAAGTAACATTAAAAACAGAAAGAAAACTTATGTTCAAACATTCTAAAGATATTTGAGATAATAAATGTGGATGTAGATTTTGATACAAGTATAAGAATGTGTTCATTTTATTGTCTCTCCTAGGTGGCACACACGATGACAGAAATAAATCCCGTCCTATTGTAATAACATGTGTTAGACCTGGAGGTCCTGCCGACAGGTATATTTCATTTTCTGGAGTGCACTTATACAAATTGACGTTCACAAATAGAAAGTTATAAATGCAAAAGGTCAAAGGCTGAATCACTGGAGGAAGATGCTAGTTAAGACAGAGAACTACTTTACAAAGCTACAAAGATACCCTCATGAATAATCATCCAATCTTAATAAATTACACATTTCATTACTTGTGTTATAACAAGTATTGCATAATACTACAGGATGTGAATTTTAAAGAAACATGGATTCTTTGATTAAATAGGGTTTAATATCTGAATGTTTAACAAGTGTTTAAAGTAGGACACAGAGAAAAAATACAAGTTTAATCTTCTGGGGTTTTTTTGTAAAATTGTTTGCAAAACTTTTTATTTTCATTCTAAACAGTCCTTTAATTATTATTTTTTTAAAAACCATACATTAGGAATGGCTTAATAGCTTATGAACATTTATTCATAGTACCATTAATTCTAGCGGTATGTTCTCCAAAACCTCTAGGCAACATTTATTTTTGCCCTTTTCTTTGGAAACTCAAAATGGGATATATCGGTTTTCATCGTTTTCTTTTCTTCTTTTAACATCAACCCTGCCAGGGTTAGAGAAAGACAGTGATAAGCCCAAGTTTACCATGTGAACTCGAAGATTTTTGGAACTTGAACCTGCATTTTCCAGTCATAGTATAACACCTTAACTATTACACCAGTTTCCTATTTTTATCCCCATGAAAACTCATGAGATAGTTCACGTGAGTGAAGGACTGAATAAAGTTAATCCGTTAGACAATTTAGCTAGAATTCCTTTCTTTTTCAATAACTGCAAATATAGACATATTCATATCAAGTCATATTAAGTCATTAAGGTCATGCTATTTAAATAGTGATGTATATTGCTTGCCTGCAGTTAATCTGATTGAGTGATGCTTTGTGATTCCTATAGCTCATTTAAAACTATGTTGAATTGTGTGCTATTTTTTTGGCACAGAAAAGGCCCATATTAATTTTTATGTAGTGGGAAATTCTACCAGTATTTGAATCCAGAGAAATGTTAGATATCCTCCAATTGTGAAGTGTTCTATTTTTGTTTTTCTGTTTGTATATCCAGCCACTCAAGACATTCTAGGACTATTATTTTGGCACAACCTGTCAGTGTGAGTGAGAGGGGATCAGCAGAGATGCTTGTTTCTATCTGCCATACAGTTCTAGAAGTACAAGCCAGTTATTGATGAGGAAAATCTTGTAGCTTTTTCTCCCCACCTCCTTGTTTGTTGATAGCTCATCACTTGCTATATGTTGTTATTCTCTCCAGCTGCACATTTTTTTTCATGAATGGAAAGATAACAGTAATTCTTCTATAGAACTGAATCCTAGAAATGAAAGATTATTCCAATATCAGTCATGCTGAATAAGAAAAAAAACCAAAACCTTTTGTAAGATAATAAAAGAATGATCTTCAAACTTGCACATTTTTAAATGGAAAGTATGAGCAACTAAAATTTCTAAAGACTATTTTCATAGCTGGCAGACACATAATAAGATTCAAAGGACAAATCTAAATTTTCCATGATTGCCAGTGCACTACAAAAAAACTTTCTACAATAATGGTAGTCCTTGTTTACTGACCACAATTGGGACTGGCAATGGTCATTAAGTGCTTTTTGCTTAAAGCACTCAAATCAACTCTCTTTTGAGTTTGAACCATTGCCCCTGTCTGCCACATTATTTATCTCATGTCCCAAAGGGGCTTTTTCAAGAGGCCATTGGACTTTCTGATTTTTCTTTGAAGACGTTTTGTTTCTCATCCAAGAAACTCCTTCACTGAGTTGCCTCTTGAAAAAGCACCTTTGGGACATCCATGATCTGAATGACTGAGAATCTCCATAAATCTATCTCATAATTAAACTAGGATGATCTGGGAAATGTTATGCTCAAATTTTTGAAATGAAATATTTATATGCATACCCATAGTAAGCTTTAAGAGAACAGCCAGTTGTGTCGGATGTTGAGAAAGAATACTAGAAAATCTTGATATTTTCTATCAGTTTTATAAGAAATATTATATTAAATGAATAATGATTGTTCTTTTTCAGAGAGGGTACTATCAAGCCTGGAGACAGGTTGCTCAGCATTGACGGAATTCGGCTTGTTGGAACTTCACACAATGAAGCCATGTGTATTCTCAAACAGTGTGGGCAAGAAGCAACTCTGCTAATAGAATATGATGTCTCAGTTATGGGTATGTTGAAATACTGAGATTTTATTCTGGAAACCATCCATTACATTTTATAGTCCATCTTTTAGAAGTTATTTAAACATGTTTATTACTCTGTTCCTCTACTAGCACAGAAATTCCCTTATTGCTAAATCTTATTAATTTCGCTTAGGTTCATGAAAGGGTGAATTTGAAGTCTGATTATTTTATGACTTTCTAAATTGGACGAATATCATAAATGAAATCAGAGTGGTAACATTCATTAATTCACGTAAAGCAATTTTTCATTCAAATGGAAATAACAATTTGCATATATTTTTATCAGTTCATTAAAAATGGTCAACACAAATCCTTCAGCATGTTTGGTGATAGAAAATGGCAGAAACTATAAACAGTATTGATCCTGAAATTAAACTTTGTGGTGGAAATCCTCCTTCCTCAAAAGATTAACAAATAAATTCTAAAAAGTATATTTATTGTGCTGGAATGACAATGTATTTTATTTGTCCTCCCCATAAATCTCTTTTGGTTAAGAATATAGTGATTTGCTAGTACTTTTAGAGAGTGATATGACTTTCTAAGTTATGTGATATATAACATGACAATTTAATTTGTCTAAATAGAGAATAGCATGAAAATCTCATTCTTAGTTTAATAGCCAACCTAAGTTACATAAAATAGCATGAACTTTATATGCTTATATATTTACATCAGGTGTATGTATATTTGTAAAACTTCCTACAAGATCTTCTACAGAAATTCTAATGGCATTTTCTTATCAGGAACAAGTTTAAATTCTCAACTTCCAGAAAAGCAATGGCAAAATAAAATGGCTTCACTATTAGTGGAGCCATTGATTGCAGTGGAAAGTGGAGCTGGTGCAGGTTTCTTCTTCAGATGTCTTGCCCAGAGTGCTTCTTACAGGAGCTCCACATGAGGACACAAGGAAATAGCATTCTCTGGCAGTTTGTTGAGCTTTGGGAGTTGGGAGAAACCAGCTTTGCCCAAGCTGCTGTTCGGAGCCCTTCAAAGGACACTGAGTGTGTACTGTATATGGGCATATGCATAATGGTTATCTTTTGAGAACTGAATGCAATGAAATTTCATTTTAATGTATGCTGATTAGAGCGTACACTTAAAGTGACAATAAAGTTCTATTCTATTTTATTCTATTCTTTCTAGTTCACCTACTTTCCCTCTTAATCATTTTTTGGAAATGACGTGTAAATTGCTTTTTGGATATTAAGAATCTCCAGAAGTTCAAGTCTTATTATACTAGATGATTTTCATCCAATCTGCAGCTAAAGAAGATTTGTGTAACTTTAAAACTTAAAGAAAAACTTTTTTATTTGGAAATAAGCAGCAAAAGGTTGATTAGAATACAGATTTTTTGAAAGTTTTCAGATAAACTAAAGGGCAAGAACTAGACTTTTAAAAAGTTTTAAGAATAGTTCTGTAGTTTGTTTAGAATTTTCTTTAAAATATATGAAGATTTGTGTCTAAGTAAGAAATCTCTTTCTGGTAAATTGTTCTGGATAAGAGAAAAACATGATAAGAAGAGACATTTGAATGTTGGCTACCAAAGACAACCAGAAAGAAATAAAGATTAAAAAAGAAGAAGAAGAAATCCCATCAATACAGAATGGAGAAAAATGTTTTAACTCTGGAAGAATTTAAGGATATTTGGCAACAGTGTCCCCAGAACTTACACTTAGACTAATACAATAAAAATGGATTTAAAATAAGAGATAGACGAAGATATAAATGAAAATCAGGCTGTTTTGGATATGAATTTAAAATTGACAGAATACAAGAACAAAATTGACAAAGATATTATGTAAGATATATAAATAAAAGAGCTTTAGGTCTTAATAATTAAAATGAACACATAAATAATAAATCATAAGAGTACTTAGATATGGGTGACTTGAACAAATTTCTTACTTTGGATTTACAAAAGAGATGTATTGTAGAAAATACATATAAATAAATATAGAAAAAAGAGACGAAATCACATTTTGAGACATTTCCTAAAAGGAATAACGAAGTTATTTGAAACTAAAATTAAGGTTTATAATGTTAAGTTATTTGAATCAATTATTCTCTTTTCTAACAACTTTTAATAGGTTTTTCCTATTAAACCTAAACCTATTAAATTTTTGCCTAAATGATGAGGCTTTAAAGTTTTATTTATACATATGAGATAAACTATGGGAAGAAGATATTTTTTTCCTTGTATTTTTAGAGGAAAGGATGTAAAGGAAAGAAATATGAAATAGATTTACTTGTTTAAAGTGTGTGTGCGTGTGGTTTTTTCCCCTGGTAATTTTAATGAAGTTTTGCTGATTATGATAAAAAATGAGGCTTAATTACTTGCCAATAAATAGAAGATGAAATATGGAATTCCATCTTTGGTTGAAATATTAAAAATGTTGAGTTATTGAAAATGTTTGTACTTGTCTTGATGAACGGGTAAGTAATTTTTTCTATATTTTTTGTTTTCATGCTTTTTATGTCTATTTTTCCATTTCCCCTCCTCTGTTTTTCCTTTTTATTTTTTCCTATTTTTTATATGTTTCTTAGTTTATATTAATTTTACATCCTTGTATTTTTGTACTTCAATAAAAAGAATTGTCTTTTGGAAGAGAAAATATATGAGATAGGTCAAATGGTTTTCTGAGATAATCACTATGGGATGGTTTTTTTAACTGTGATACATTTAATTGAAGCTGATTATTCTAGACAGCAATTTTGCTTTACTAGATAAGTAGGAGAATTGTACAAGATCTAAGAATATTGACTTGTTGTATATGTTTAATCATAAATGTGGAATAAATATTGGAATATTTTGACATACAGCTGGATTAAATTTTGTAACCTAAATGATAAAAAGAATGTATGATTATTCAGTGCTGTATTCCAATGTTATTCTGTATGACACATTTTATTGGTTTCAGTCAAGGGCATCTACAAAGGGAATTACCATAATCAAAATAGCAAGGGGGACTAGAGATCAAAACCATTTTGTTTGCATGTATGTGATGTGTGCGATGCATGTGGAAAAGGAGAGGGGTTCAATTACTCCATCAAACCCATCCTTTTCACATTCCACTCCATCCTAGGACCTTTCAATGAACCTAGGTTTTAAAAACCTAGGAATTCAGTGATTATGCTTTGACACTCCATGTGATATATTTTTGTCATTCTTATAGTTTCCAAACAGAAAGCAATAAAAAAGAAAAGGTAATGCTTGTAATTCATTTACTGGTAAACTTTATCTTTCAGATCCTCCCCAAAGAAATATAAAAAGAATTTCGTTTGTATACTACAACTTTGAAATGGCTCTAACAAATCCAAATGACATTTCTTTCTAGCACTTTGGAAGCAATGGTCTCATTAAAATTGGTTGCATAAACATAGCTACCTCTAGAAGGCCTCATTAAAATCAGATGCATAAACATCGGCATCTCTAGGGGAGAGGATAAAGTGAAATTTAAGTATTATCAAACAAATATTGATAAAGTTTCATTATATGAATTAACAAGAGAGAAGAAAATTTCCTATTGTTCTGAAAACTATTCATGTTTTCATTTATGTTCAAATATGTTTTATTTCTCTGAGTAGTGAAAGTCCAGGGACAATAATACCATTACTATTGTAAGGGCCTTAGTTTTATCAGATGAAATGTCATGGCCATAGTCTGATAATCTCATCTCAATTTAACAAAACTTCATATCCTTGATTTCCTTGAAGTTCATGAAGAACTTCTCTTTTCTTCATCACACTCTTTGATAACCAAAACTATCATGTTTGGCATAAATATAACCCCCAGGAAACTGTAATTATCATCTCTGGCCTCCCTTAGACATGAAAGCTGACTGTGTGACAATCACTCTTTCTTCATCCAACTCACAGCATTATTGCTGTGGAGTAAATAAGTGGCCAAGATATTATGTATGTTTGCTGTCTTGACTATCTGTCTAACTAGGCAGAATAACTTGTGTTCCGTAAGGTCATTATTTCAGTGATATTTTGTTACCTAAGTTGAGAATCAGAATGAACAAAAAAGCAGTGGGAGCAGGAGTGACTTCTGACTTGCTGCCAGCTTCCCCACTGAGTTTCATTTAGGAAACTGGCAAGGAGCATCAAAAATCTTCCCTCCCTCCCTGTTTCTTCCAATAATTCAACAATCTCAGGTTGAATTCCACCATTGTGGGATACACTCATTTCCACTCTATGCTGCCTTAAAGATCAGTGAAATACATTTGATTTGCTTGTTGGAGTTTGGTATTAACTGTCCAATGATAGAGTTGCCTTTCAGTAATCACTGAAAGTTTCCATGTTTACCATTACCATCAGTTAATTTGTATAATCCATTTATGCTGATGTACTTCATATATTTTGTGGGAAATAATTTTACAATTTATTGGAAAGTGTGAAGTTCTGAATCAAGTTTAAGGTTTGAGAGTAAATTAAAATTGTTTCTGCATGGTACCAATTTTCCCCCTAAATTCAACTCATCAGGATCAGATTTCTAATAGTATAATTTTCAGATAAAGTGTATTGGAATAGAAATTCATTATATATTCATTTATTAATTTTATATATCTCATAATTATGAGTCTGAGCAGCTTAAAATAGCAATATAATAAAACAACAATAAAAAATAATATGTGATTGAAAACACATATCTGTGTGTGATGCTCTATTGATATGTTTTGAATAGAACAGAATAGAATAGAATAGAATAGAATAATAGGATAGACTAGTACTAGGACAGAATTACAGAGTTGGAAGGGATCTTGGAGGTTTTCTAGTCCAATCCCCTGCTCATAACGGTCATTTCAGACAAATGGTTGTTCAATCTCTTCTTAAAAGCTTCCAGTGTTGGAACATTCACAACTTCTGGAGGCAAGTTGTTCCACTGATCAATTGTTCTAACTGTCAAGAAATGTCTTCTTAGTTCTAGGTTGCTACTCTCCTTGATCACCCATTGCTTCTTATCCTGCCCTCAGGTGCTTTGG